TCTCTCTCTCTCTCTCTCTCTCTCTCTCTCTCTCTCTCTCGGTCTTCTTCTTCGTCGTGGTCTTCTTGCAGGTGCGCGGCGGCTTCTCCAACCTCAGGTCCGCTATGGCCGCTATGGCGGACTATACCCCTCGGCGGCCACCTCTGCTATGGCGCTTCAGGCCCTGCACACGACGTCGCGCATGGAATAGCGGGTACCAGCTCCGATACCAATGCAATCAGACTCATTCTTATTCACACTTTTCATGCATGTAAACAGCAGAGCAGCAAACTGGCGACATGCGCCCACTCAAAACTCAGAGATATGGCTTACAGACACGAGTTCACTTTTAACTGGCTATGGCAACTCAGCGCCCAAACAACTCACTGTTCACACACACCGGATCACCCTGGATATCCCACACGCGTCACTCTGAACACTCGAACACGCACACACACACACACTTCCAACTAACTACAACTATGGCAGCTATGGCTGCCTCTACCCTATCGCTATGCTAACTCCGCCTCTCTCGCCCACTGCGTCCTCCGGGCTCACTGCAGACCTCCTTGCACAAGTCGYTGTGGCAGCGCTTCCGCATGGCTCACGCARGAATCAATCAAAGGCTGGGCGCTGCCTCTTGATTTATACTTCGGAAACTCGTTGGTCTGCCCTTTGCCATCGGCCCATGGTGTGCACAGTCCCCCGTGGTACTTGCTGSACCGAACTGGGACTGACTGGACCTTACCGCTGACTGTTTGTGGACTCACTGCTATCCTACCGTCGCCGTACTGCGATTGCAGTGTAGTTCAGTCCACCACTTGCTTCGCCACTTGACCACTTGCCCACTTGCTGACCTTCTAGAAAGACTACAGCTAGACTTCTGGAACTTGCTAAGACTTCTACTCTATAGACCTACAGATCGAACCCCTGTTGTTTATGGACCTACGACAGACCTACCAACTGTCTACGAATACACAGGTCACAGGTTCAACTCTCGGGGTCTACACAGATACTGTACATGGGTAGGGTGAGGTCTAGGGATCGAGCCCTGGGTACCGCATCCGCTACTGCTAAAAGGTGAAAACCGTTTCAGCACTACAAGATGCCGACATTCCAAATCGAGAAGTTCGATGATTATACGCATCAAGACCTAGTCCCCTGGTGGGAGGGCTTTACGACGCAACTTCGGATTCTCTTCGTCCCCGAGCACTTGTACATCGGCGCGTTGTTCCTCAACTCAAAAGGCGGATGTTAGATCTGGCTCAGCCACCTGGCAACCATTCACGGCGTCCAGGTCGTAGATCCGAAAGTTAAGATCTCTTGGGAGGAGTTAACAAGGCTATGGAAGAAGCGGTTCATCATGGACGACGCCCCGACGCTCGCCATCAACCGCCTCTTCGCTATGACGCAAGGCAACACATCGACACGCGACTGGCTCACGGAGTGGCAAAAGATCGCGGCGAGGCCCGATCTCGAATTGCTATTTTTGCATCTACACCGGGAGTTCTACAACCGGTCATGTGCCGCCTTGAGCCTTGCACTTGGTGATCGCGAGCAATACGCGACCTTTGCCGAAATCATCGACAAGGCAAGGGAGATCATCAAGACCACTGCTGAGCTCTTCCAGGTCTCGCACCCCCACCCTGCTGAGTTATAGGGTAACACGACTCACCCCAGCTCCAACCAGCGTTGTCTCAACAGCAACCCTTGGTTGTCCCTTAGAATGCCCCCCCAAAGCATCCCCAGATCTCTCTACCAAGCCTCACGCTCTTGCATCCGCTGGTTACAGGGCAATGCCCCAGCACCGGCCAACGTCGTTCTGGCATCAAACACTCCGCAGGTCACTGAATACATCAGTACTGAATCATCTAAGCTGGGTTATTAAAAGTCCCCAGATTCCTAAAACACTCTTAAGACCCCTGTTGGTAACCAAGCAAACCAGCAGACCTTTAGATCTAGACTCCTAAGGTAATTCCTAGCCTTCCTTTCCCCGGGACATACTTACTCAGGGACAGTACCAACCATATTAACATCACCCATAGCTGATCTCTTCTCGCCACTACGCAGCCCCCCCCGATTCGCCATTGGCTTGCCTTCCACCCTCGGCAACCCCCAGATCTCTCTACAAGGCCTCATACTCCTGCTGATTGCAGGTCACAGGGCGACGCCCCAGCTCTGTCCAGCGTCGTTCAGGCATCGGCAAAACAGGGGCACAGAATAAAAAAGCTATGCGGATGTCAGTCCGGTTGTGGCCCTCTCTGAACTCCTACACCCCGGTTGCAAGTAAGGGCTAAATACTACCAAGGATCCAGAACCAGAGAACATTAGTAAGGACTGCACAAACAAACAACCACCCACTCTCCCCACAACTATTGAAGAAAACTACAGGTCTCGTGTTCAGTCCTCAAACGACACACGGCTGGTCTCATACCCTCCCATGCTAGAGTTACAGGACCCCACCAARCCSCAGTACCGACMAACCTAGCGAAGATGGTGAGGAGTGCCTTCCTCCCTCGACAACTCCCCATAGCCGCACGCCCCAAACGGTGACAGGGATACACCCCAGCTACGGCCATGTCGAAAAAGCTGGTTCTATCTTCCTCCCTCGACAGAACTCCCCAAGCCTCATGCTCCTCTCCGGGTCACAGAGCGAAAACACTCCAGCACCGGCCTGCGTCGTCCCAGCCCCTTCCTTCTGACCTACTAACAAAACCCACAGTCCCCCCTCGGTTGCCCCCTCTTCCCCCTCTTACCCCGCAGCCCTCTTGGAGCAAGGACTCGGATCTTCCTTATATCTGCTGGGTTCCCTTATTTGTAGACCAGTGTTGCTATGCTTGTGGACGGGTCCTCTCCCATCCCTTCCTTTGTCCACGCTGAGTTGAGGAACATTTAGTACTCCTTCCCCAGAACGGGCCAGCATTCCAACCAGAATTCTCGGGTTAGGCCATCCTTCCCCGACTTTTTGTTTGGACTCATCGACTTCAGCGCCTCCCACATCTCTTCCTGCGAGAGGGGGGTGTCTAGCATTTGCTCCTGTTGCGGTGAGATCGTCCTCTGCACGTAGGTTAGGAGCTTGACCCTCGCCCCGTCTGTTTGTTCCTTTGTATGATCCTGTTCTCTTGAGGTGTAGAGGGTGCTGTAGAAGCCATGGGCCACTTGGACCATCCCTTCAGGTGATATTGTTGGTCTGTTCAGGCCCGCTAAATGTTCGATGGTGGAGTTCCACCCATTAGCCTTGATCTTTTGAAAAAAGAACTTGGACATTCTTTCTCCTTCTTCCCACTCCCGGACCTTGCCCTCATCTGCAGTCCCCTGCTCCTCCATCTTTCCCAGTCTCCTAACTGGGTCCTAGCAGCCTCTAGCGTCCTTTCGTAAAGTTTTGTGCCCGGGTGTCTAATGAGGTTCCCTTCCGCCAATCTTAGTGCTTGCTGTAGTTCGTGCTCCCTTGCTCCCCTTTTGGCTGCCAGTTGCCTGGCCACCCTTGCCGTTGTCTGAGACAAAGCCTCTATCAGGTCTGCGAAAGATTGACATTTGTAATGACCTGCCAAAAACACAGACTGAGAACACTGCTGATTTCTGGGATTTGCTGCTGGAATGAATGCCTTGCTGAAATTCCCGCATTCTGCTGTGATTTCCATGTCTGTGTGTGTGTGCGTGCCTGCTGGTTTGCATGCCTGTCTGAGTGCTTGTCGGTTGAGTGTGTGTGTGACCCGCAAGGGTACTTGTTGGTTGAAAGGCCCCGCAGGGCCGGTACTTACCTGTGGCCGTGACTGTGAAGGGTTGCAGGGGGGAAAACACTCGAGTAGCGGGGGTAGGCCCACAACACTTAGAGCAGAGGGGAAAAACACTCAAGTAGCAGGTAGGCTGGTACCACTGAGGTAGTGGTAGAAGTGTCGGGTACTGGGGGCCGAGCAGAAGAAGACAAAAGTTGGCATTTTTAGAGGCCCAGTAGCGGTAGGCTAGAGGTAGGGCGGTACCAGTCCAAGTAGCCCGGGTCTAGGGCCTGTCCGGGGGTTAGCAGAGCCTGCAATGATGTTTCCGTCCGAAAGGGAGGAGGTACCGGTTGCTGGGAAGCCGCTCGGCCTAGGAAGTCACCGCCCAGGAGGCCAGTAGGCCGCTATATCTTTCGGAGGAGCAAGTAGCTCCTCCTCATTTGCGGTATGCAAGGATTGGCGACATGCTGCTGGAGCACAGCGCTGCTTGGAGGTGAAGGGCCGCTGGAGCTCAGCCTGGCTATGGCGAGCAGTCCAGCTTGAGGAGGAGGAAGAAGGGGGCGAGGTAGGAGAGTGGCGAGGCACCTACCTGGCTATGGTGGACACCGTCTTCAACACCTTGTTGGGCGCTGCATCTGGAAGGCCCCAGTGGGGGTAGTGCTGCACCAAGGAAGCTCGAGGCAGAGTCAGGCATGGCGGACCAGTCAGCAGCGGCATAGCTGCTTTGGGTTGTCCTTTGGACATCAGCGCAGCACCATAGCAGCGCAGCACCATAGGTGCTTTGGGTTGTCCCTTGGACATCAGCGCAGCACCATAGCTGCTTTGGGTTGTCCTTTGGACAGSAGGGCAGGGCCCTCATTAGTCCGCCATAGTCTATGCATGAGAGAGGAGGCTGAAGGAGGGAAGCCATAGCTATGGTGGACTTGTTGTTGTTGTTGTGTTGTTGTTGAGTCAGCAGTAAGAGGGAACTTCGGATATTGATTCTGGTTGATCCATTAATTGTTATTATTATTATTGGGAGAAGAATAAGATTGGCGAAGTGAAGGAGGAGGAGGAAGGTGGAGAGAGAAGGGGGAATTGTCATTGGTCTTGCTGGTGTACTTCTTCTTCTTCTTCTTCTTCTTCTTCTTCTTCTTCTTCTTCTTCTTCTTCTTCTTCTTCTTCTTCTTTTTCTTCTTCTTCTTCTTCTTTCTCTCTCCTCTGGTCTCTATCTCCTTGCAAGTGCTTTCATTTCTTTTGCAATTGGGTGGCATTGTCTTTCATTGTGAGTTTGCACTTTGGAAATGACCAGGATCGTAACACATTGCTGGTCGTGTGACAAACTCGTTTGGAGGATCCCTTGTCGCAGCTCCGGTGTCCACAGGATGGAGTTATTAATTTTGTAGAATCCCTTACCCCTATTGATGTGCTTATCCGTAAATAAATATAGAAGAATAGGGTTATGGTCTAGGCCACTGGCGTGAGGTAGGTCTCCTATTCCAACTGTGTGTCTCATCCCTATGAGACTGTGTGAAATTAAAAAGAACTTTAAAGAAGTCTATTCTAGAAGCCGACACATGCTGACTCCTATTTCACTTATGATAATATAAGTAACTGTTTTTTGGTTGGGTAATGCAACGTGTGTAGATCCGTGAGGTCCTTCTCCATTATTAAGCTATGGATGCCCAGTGCCTCCTTCCCTATCGACCCCTCTCTCTCGGAGCTTCCTCCCGTCATGCGGTCTAGTCCTGGGTCCAATGCTGTGTTCCAGTCCACTGCCAGAATTATATGCCTGCTATTGTCAACCCGGTCTTTGAAAAGGTTGACCATTTGATTGTCCTGTTGGAGCATGTCTGGGAACTATAGGGCCACCAGTCTGAATTCCTCCTCATGCAGTTTGAAGTCCAGCTGTGCCCAGCGTCCTTCCGCTCCTTGCACTGTGATCTTGCCTGCTGTGGAAGACCTTTTATTTTGCAGGATCACCACTGCTGCTGAATGTGGACGCGGTGCTGGTGCCCAATAAGCCGCCTGCAACCATCTCAGTCTCTCTGTAATTCTAGACAGAATTTTTTGGTGTTGCTCTGAGACCGTGAGGTGTGTCTCCTGCCAGCAAACAAAGTCTGGCGGATCTGTTACAAACCAGTTTGTGAACTCTGTGTACCTCATAACGTTATGCCACTTGTCAGCATTATCGAGGATTGTGGCTAGTCCGTTATGGTCCATGAGACTATCTTAATTTCTGGCTTGTGTCTTGCCACCTCATGCTGGATTTTCCCTTCGCTTTCCATGTCCCCTCGCTCCTATCTCCATTTGTATAAGGTCCCGTGGTCATCCTCCTGTTGCCTCGGTGTGAAGGTTTAAGATCCTGCGAACGTCAGATCGATCCTTGTTGCTGTGTCTGCCACCCTCATCTCCAAATAGTCCGGCTCCTATGAGAAGGTCTCGTGCTTCACCAGAATGGCTGCGCCGCATGCTGCCCCCTCTAGTGCCAGCTCTCTACCCAGTAAGCCATAGGGACTGGTCTCGACTACTTGCCATGGCATCCAGACCAGATCCCCTTCAGCTCTGCATCTTCTGGGGGCTTGATGAGAATTGGCCTGAAGTCAGCTGTTTGTGCATTGTCACTTGCATCTTCCAATTCCACCTTCTCTTTGCCAATCTCTCCCGCTACGTGGAGTCTTGATGGGATGTCGTATGAGACCCTTTCCTTTTGCACCTCCCCTGTGCATTGGCTCGCCTCTAGTGACAGCAGTGCCAGTGAACGGCGGACCGCCACTTTGGATTGTCCTTTTTTTTTTTTTTTTTTTAACAAACAGCATGCTTCATATAGAGCAAAAGGAGGCCGGGAATCCCTCCACATCTCAACCCGGAAGACTGGGGCCATTACCCAGATTAGGCTCATACTGGAAACAGGGTCCAGTGTCCCTTTCTCCTGCCGAGCTACATGCTATTCCTGAACTAAGGACGAAACTGGATTAACAAAAGACAAATAGCTATAGACAAAAGAAACTGCCAACCTGCCTCTAGGTTTCATTTAGGAGCTGAAAGAACTGACCATCCTACCCCCAGGTTGCACTTAAGAAATAAAAGGGCTGAAATGAAATGGAAGAGCTGAATCTCGTGCGGAGTGACACAACGCGCTACACCCTAGAGCATGCTGCCTTTTAATCCCAAAAAGCACGTTTGCACTTAGAAAATGAAGAGGCTGGAATAAAAAGGCAGGGCCGAAACCCCTGCGGAGTATCCCAATATTCTAGGTGGAGCATGGGGTATGGTAGGTGAAGCATCTCCCCTCTCACTTTCCAGCTATCCTCTCCTTGAACCCTAAACCCTACTGCTATCGTTTCTCCTTCCGTTGTACCCCTCTGTCTGACTACGTCTTATGTTTTAAGACTCCACTCAATTCCTGTTTAAAATTTAAGTGACTTTTGAACCTTACCTACCTAAGCTTGACTAACTTAAATTGTCCATTGACTCCATTCCTTTTGGCTACTTTGTCTCTTTTTTGTCTCTTTTTTTCTAAGGACAATGGCCTTGAGATATCATCATAAAACTGACGGGGCCCAGGTAATTCAGAATTATCTTATTCTGTTCATTGGGATTCTAAGTCAGGTGTGTATTTCAACAGTTCATGGGTGTACCAACTGAGTTAGGCCAGTTAGTATCACCCAGATTGCAGACGCACCGCATTATAAGCACGCCGGCCGTTATGTTCTCGCATACAACTCCTGGGCGTCATTTTCGGGTGAAGATGGGAGCATTGGCAGGGGGCGAGGGAAGAAAAAGAAAAAGAACATAGTGTTTCATCACTTCCTCAATCTTCTGAGTCGAAGTATGGGTTTACCAAGTGGCAGGGCCCACTGGTGCTATGTTTGTGTTAAAAAGGCATGAACATATCTTTGAAGCTAATGGTGTGCCTCTAATGGCTCTAGCCAGAGCTTCCATGGCATCTTGACAACTACGTCCTGGCCTAAATCCATAAGAGTGAGGTTCAAAACGGGCTTCCCATTCGGGTTCTAGAACCATTTTAGCTAATGCCTGTTTAGCTCGATCCGCAAGAAAAAGGAAATGGTTCCGTCCCGTCCAAGTTTGGCCATCGAACTTCAGTGTTCGAACTAATTCCATTTTTCCTCTCGTCGAAGAGGTGATGCATCTCAAGCAGTTAGAACCAGTGAAATACTGACTCCCTAAGTAACCTCCAAAAATATCAGCACATCTCAAAAGCATCATTGGAGGTGAAAGAAATCCACCCCAGAATAGGATAGGGCCTAAAATAGAAAGAAAGAAAGAACGAAACACTCCCAAGAAGAGAACAGAGCCATGACCAGACGGTCGTGTTTTCCAGGGGGGGGGGAAAGAAGAAGAAGGAAGAACATGTGTGGGGCAGTGGTTAACTGATCTGTACTGGGCCAAAGGAAAAAGCAAAGAGCAAAAAAGAACATGTGCTTGGCAGTGGCTTGGTCATCCTGGGGAGCAGAAATGTGACTTGGCCATTCATGACTTGCCTGACAGACATCACATGGTGTACATTAGGAAACACTCATGATTCTAAATTAGGAAACACTCGTGCTGCCACTCTGTCTGCATTAGGAAACACTCATGCTGCCTCTCCATATGGCAGGGGCACATAACATGGGAAGGGCGTAAACCCCATTAAATGATGATGACGATCTAGGTGCGGCGATGACCTGTGCAATATTGAAACAGGGATGCCAGTGGCTAGTAGTGTCTTCCCCTGGCGGTACCAAAGCGTGGCGAACAGACAAAGACATGGACCGGAGGTCGTACAGAGCTCAAGGTGGGAGGAGGTCCAGACACAGCTTCACTGACTGTCACTGTCCTGGGGAGGGTGCCCGCTGGAGGCCTCTTGCGTCACGATCTCTCCCCCCTTCTCCAAAGTCCCAACAACCAGCTGTACTCCGATCACGTTCCCCAGGACGTGGCCCCTCGCCATCCTTCAGGAAGTGGCTTGAGGGCCAGCTTTTACGAATGCGGGCAGTGCAGGGTGGCAATCAATATCTTCCACAGACGAACTCTGCACCGCAGATGGGGGTTTCCAAGTTTCAGGATTACACTCCAAGTGAGCGTTTCTACTGTCCATTTGACGATGGTGAAGATGACAACGAGAACACTGCACCTGTAGGCAGCTATGGAGGTCCTGCTGCGCTATATTCAGCATCCAATGAACAGAGGGACGTCAATAATGTTCAGTTGAGAGTCAGGGGGGGAGAGGAACAAACAACGAGCAGCAACCGGCGACTGTCATGCATATCGAGGGAGCAGCTCTCTGCGGCTGCTGCCGAGAGAAGACGAGAATCACTCAAGGCACAGGCGATGCAGCGGCTGGTTGATAAGAGGATGCGGCATGAACAGATTGTGAGACACATGAGAGAGGAGAAAATCAGGGAAGATCGGTGCAGACGCCAGAAGCTGTTGGAGCGCCGACATATGAGGATATCGCATGTTGTCTTGAAGGAACTGTGAGTATTCATTTCCCCCAACAGGAAAGAACAACCTACGGACTCTATCCAGCTATGGAAAGCATAAAAAAATATCGTGACCAACTTTGGAATACATGGGGGGAAAGAGATCGACTTGCATCATTCCAAGTGAACTGAATAGAAATATTAAGATTATAATTTATAAATGCTATATTACATGCCCCTGAACAAAGACAAACCCAGTGACGAAGAAAGGCCCCTCTGAGAGCCGCAGAGAGTCCAAAAAAGATCAAAACCAAAGCAGTCTGGCTTGACATTGGCTCTCGTCATTTGAAACCAAGTTTATTACATATGTTCAGCCTCCTCATGAATCCATGAGAGCCCGAAGAAAGTATTTCACAGGCCCCCATTCTTTGTCCTTTTCTCCCTTTCTGCCTACTATTCACTGGCCAGCTCTCTGTGACAACGTGCAACACTGTAGATAGACTATTTTTTGACAGAGTTAGCACAACTCAGACACTACTGGCTTGATTTGTGAACCCTTTTCTGTATCTGGAGAGAGAGAGAGAGAGAGAGAGAGAGAGAGAGAGAGAGAGAGAGAGAGAGAGAGAGAGAGAGAGAGAGAGAGAGAGAGAGAGTATCGTTTTGGTATCACAACTTGTCTGTTGTGTGTTTGTTATAAACTCCACGTCGTGTCCACGACAAAAACATGAGTGCTCCGGGCTCCCAATTTCACTGACTTATCAGGAGGTTGAACCCTGACAGTCTGCTCAGGATGCCAGCCCTGCAATCCTTGCAGACTGTCAGACCAAACCCCTGACAAGAATGGTAGTATGTCCAAGATACTACCTGTGTGTGTGCACTCCTCAATTGGCTCATCACTTATGGTATGGCACTCCACATATTCTGTGACCCAACCCCACCAACCCTTTCCCTTACATTGAGAGATCACACGAAATCAACACTGGAGACCAGAGATGCAAAATCCAGTTAAGCGCAGCTTAGAAATTCCAGCAAATTATCATATTATACAGTTTCAGAGTTTCAGTCACCAAGCGCTCAACAGCGCAGAGTTCAGCAACCCATGTCCAGCGTCCTCACCCAAGGCGGGTGACTCTTTCCCCTCTCTGCCTCCCTTCTTTTCTCTCTGCCCCTCTTCTTCATGCAGGCTCTCTCTCTCTCTCTCTCTCTCTCTCTCTCTCTCTCTCTCTCTCTCTCTCTCTCTCTCTCTCTCTCTCTCTCATTCCCCCCTTGAAGATCTTGACTCGGATACATCCGCTACTACTCAGCTCTACCTCCTACTACTTACTAGCTGTGCGGCTATGGCCGCCTTCCTTCTTCAGCCCAGTGCTGCCCATCCAGGGCTCTAGCGCATGGTACTCGCAGATAGCGCACAAGCGCTTCAGCAGCACCTCCACACTTGTGAATGAGCAATTTGTTTGAGATGAGGCTGGCCAGTCCTTTTATTGACTTGGACTGAGCCCTGACTCGTCCCAGCCTCTGCTTCTCTTGACTTGACTTGGACCCGGTACCGGCTGCCCGCGGCCTGTTTGCTTCAGAATGTTGAGGCCCGGTACCTTCCTGGGTTTTGCTTTGTGTGCTGCTGCTTTGGGTCCGTGGGACGTGACCTTTGCCTGTGGAATATGACTGTTGACTGCGAGATGCGAGTCCTGCCTGTTGGACACCACCTTTGACTGCGAGATGTGACCCTTGCCTATGGGATGTGACTTTTGATCGGGTACCTGTTGGACTTGACCTCTGGGGGTACCCGACGTAACCTTTCTGAAAAAGACCGACAAGGCCTCTTTTGGCCCGGGGGTTTTGACCGTGAGATTCGAATTTGGGGTCTGCATAGTGGAATGCCTTTCACTCTCGCCGGCCTAATTTCGAGGTCCTCTGAGAAAGTTACAATCTTTATTTATCAACTATGTTGATTCCTCGTCTAGCTCTCTCATAATAAGACACTATGTGCGGTGCTGTCTCTACTAGCTCATCTCTAGTAAACCAGCGATCTCCCAAAGGTTCTTGATAAGCAAATCTGACTTTATACTGTTGCTGGGGTCTGCCCCTGCGTCCAGATCTATAAATATCCTCTGCAACAATGCGCTCGAAGTCATAGTTGCCATTCTTTTCTTTCTTTTTTTTTTTTTTTTTAACAGAACCTCTCGATTCTGGCTCCTGCCATTCTGGGGAGCAACAGTTCGGTTCCTAATCCCCCGGCAAGTCAAATATGAATACAATGAAAACACACGCACACTCCTCCCCATTCTGGCCAAGAGGCCCGAGTGGACGGCATTGATTACTTCCCTAGAGAAGGATGCACCACCCCTCACCCCTGCCTAAGTTAGCCTATGTCCTCTACCTTCTGATCCTCTGAGTCGCCTGGCTCCTAGCTCCTCTCAGCTGAGTGCTGTCG